TGCAGAAAAAGCATTCAACAAAATCCAACATGCATTTATGATAAAAACCCTACAAAAATTGGAATAGACGGTGTCTACCTCAATCTGATAAAAGCCATCTATGACAAACCAACAGCCAATATCATACTAAATGGTCAAAAACTGAAATCCTTCACACTAAAATCAGGAACAAGACAAGGATGTCCACTATCACCACTCCTATTCAATATAGTTTAGGAAACATTAGCCACAGCAATTAGACAAGAGAAAGAAATAAAAGGAATAAAGATAGGAAACAAAGAAGTTAAATTGTCATTATTTGCAGATGGCATGATACTCTATTAGAAGACCCCAAGAACTCCACCAAAAATCTTCTAGACTTAATAACCAAACTCAGTAGAGTAGCTTGATACGAGGTCAGTACACAACAATCAATAGCCTTCCTGTACATGAACAACAGATTTGCTGAGAGAAAATGGAGAAACAGCTCCTTTCACAATAGCAGCAAAAAAGAGAAATACCTAGGAATCAACCTAATGAAAGAAATCAAAGACCTCTACTCTGAAAACTATAGCACTCTGAAAAAAGAGATTGAAGAGGATATCAGAAAATGGAAAGACATCCCCTGCTCCTGGGTAGGAAGAATCAAAATAGTGAAAATGGCCATACTTCCAAAACTGCTGTATAGATTCAATGCAATCCCAATTGACATCCCAGCAGCATACTTCACGGACCTTGAGAAAACAATCCAAAAATTCATTTGGAACAAGAAGAGACCTAGACCTGCAAAAGTAATTCTAGGCAACAAAGACAACGTAGGGGATATCACAATCCCCAACTTGAAACTATACTACAAAGCTACTGTGTTAAAAACAGCATTGTACTGGGATAGAAACAGACCTGAGGATCAGTGGAACAGATTAGAAGATGCACTAGCAACTCAAAACATACTCAGCCACCTCATCTTTGACGAAGGACCCAAACACCCTCACTGGAGAAAAGATAGCCTCTTTAATAAGTGGTGCTGGAAAAATTGGGTTTCGACCTACCGAAGGTTAAAACTAGACATGTCTCTCACCAGGCACTGAACTAAAATCAAAATGGATTGAAGATCTAAATGTTAAAACAGAAACACTAAACCGGCTGGAAGTGAGGTTAGGTAAAACTCTTTAAAAAACTGATGTAGGAAAAGATTTCATGAACAAAACCTCAGTCATATGTGAATTAGCACAAACAATTAACAAGTGGAATCTCTTCTTATTAAAAAACTTCTGCACAGCCAGAGAAACCACCAACAGTGTGAAGAGACAATCCACAATGTGGGAAAAAATTTTTACCAGCCGTTCCTCAGACAAAGGTCTACTATGTAAAATATATTTTTGAAATATGCTTTCTATATCCTTTTAAATTCTGTAAAATCTGTGGTAATGTCTCCTAGGTCTTGATATTTTAATTTTTAAAATGTATAATTGATATCGTGTAATAGGAAGTGAAGGTCTAAAGGAGCAGGCGAAGTGGGAGAGGTAGGGGAAAGGAAAGAAGGGAAAAGAAAAAATATGAGCAAAGGAGAAAAATGGCAACAAAATCTTTGCAAATAGGGGAGGGTGGCAGGGGTGAAGGGAGGGCAGGGGAGGGAAAAAAAATAAGAACCAAAATAGTCATGTAATGGTACAAGATCCCAATGATGTATGTAAATGTATTTTATACCTAAAATGTACCAATAAACTTAATGGAGGAAAAAACAAAAGAACTTAAAAAAAATCAAACCCCCCAAATTAAAAGATCCAATCCAAAAATGGGCATCTGAAATGCACAGACATTTCTCAGACAAAGAAGTAGAAATAGCAAATAAACATATGAAAAAATGTTCAACATAATTGGTCATTTGAGAAA